TCAGTATTAGTACATAAGTTGTTTCACGAGTTGCTGAAGGTGGTTTCATTTCATCTTTGCTCTTTACTTGAATCAGGGACAGTCTCAAATTGGCAACTATCATGACCTATCATCAAATAATAATAAAATTAGACAGTGATTGTTTATGATCTCGGTTAATTAGATGAGGTTAGATAACTAATAAACAACATGGCTTAGAAAAAGTTTCTTACTAGGATCGGTGTGGGTGAACACTGCAGCACCATGAAAATCACAAGAACCGGCTTGGTTCTTGTTATGCTGGTAGTATGTATTGAAGACAACAGAGGCGTGGTCCCTGAGAGTGTTGGGCGAGTAACAATTTTGCCCAAGCTGAATCCTGCTACAGTATGCCTCGCTCTGATGGCAAGCCCAACCTAATGCTTCTTGTACCACTTGGTCCGACATCTTAGGATTGGCTACACACCATGGTCCTCCGCTTTTCGCTTTTATTTATGAAAAGAAGATACATATGTCAATGTGTGAAATATCACAAGTGAACGTTACCATTATGTTTTACCTAAATTTTGAGGAATTGTTGCTGATATGAAAAGAAACAGAGCAGTTGTTATTCTTATCAACATTTTAGTCACACAAAATGAAAGTTTGAGAGCTTCATAATGATTCTAAATTGAGTATTTTATGATGTTTCTAGAGAATCTCTATTAAGGACCAAGTAAAATAATTCACTATTGATGTGTAATTGTTATAAACTGTCAAATCCCTTGGGTGAATAATTACTATTGTGAAATATCTAATTGTTTACCTCAATTGGATGAAATTTTCGAGGGATCACAAATATTAACATATTTGAAAAACACCCTAGATACATTACCTGAAATTGTGGGTATGAAGAACAGAGGAAGCACCATCAATGAAGATAGTAGAAGAGAAAAGGAATTCTTGATTGCCATTGATTATATTTCTAGAATATGCAATATTCTTTGTAGAATATCTTTAGATCCCACTAAATAACCAAAACCTTGAAAACATAAAATCAGTTTTATATTAGTAAATCAAAAGAAGATTAAATTTTCATGAATCTTCCACACAAAAAAAATGTTAAAATATTTGTAACATATTTACCTTTTTTCTGAATTTAGTATACAAGAGAATGAGTTGTTTTAGTCTTGTGTGTGTTTATATAGATAATACATAGACATCCCCATTTATATAGAATTATTTGATCAACGTCCATATGTTTAGATTTAATAGTTATGCTCTATTATCTAATGAACAGTATATAATGAATGATTTTCCAAAACAAAAAAAAATAGATTTGGAGAGGATCTCCACTTATTGAATTTAAGATACAAATGCATTTAAAGGGATTAAAGTGTTTGGTTGAATTTTAATTAGTCATATCACAATGACAACCTACTATATATTAATTAAGAAGTCACTTTAGTGACTTTTTCTTAGGTGTCACTCATAGGTGAAGTTTAGAATTGATTCTTTTAATTTGAATGGTTGGTAGTATTTCAATTCTGATTTATTTAATTTAACTTTTTGAAAGTAAATTAATCTTAGAATTATTTTATCTAATATATGTTAGCAAACAAACAATTAAACCTCTTTAGTATAGATGACTTAACATAATTTATTTATATAAATAATTAATTATCAGAGATTACATTATATAATTTATAATACACATATAAATACATATGATAATACCAAAAAAAATTCTATAAATGGTTTGAAATATATGTATACTAGTAGTGGATATAATAAATAATAGATATCAGAAAATTAAATAATCTAAATTTTATAATATTTCAACTCACTATATACATATATGTAGGAAAAATATTCAAATATATAATTTTTCAAAATTCCAATAATATTCAATGAAAAAGTGATATTATATTGTTGAGGTATCAAATGATTAAATCCTACTATATATTAGTCATCCTACATATTCATTGAGAAGTCATTTAATTGACTTTTAATGATATGTCATTCATAGAAGTACTCTTCAATTAATTTTTTTAAATTTTATTAGTTGATCGTTTTTTTATTTTTGATTATCTTAATTCAGTTTCAAAAACAAAATCAGTAGCTAATTTATATTAATTATGTGATATTGTACATATATTAGTTTTAGAAATATTATCAGATGTATAAACGTAGTAAGACTTTCTTTCCCAACTTTCGAATCAGACATATTCCAAGGGCACAAAATACTATGGTGGATAAGCTTGCACAAGGTGCAAAGCGTTCTCCTTCAGCTGTGTTTGATCTTGGTTCAACACCTGCGGCTTGACCCTTCGAGCCTAGAGGATAGTTACCTAGTTATTTATTATTGTAAAAAAGAATGATATTTAGAAATCTTTATATATGAGGTATTAATTAAGAAATGACATTTGGAGCATACATTAATAATTTCTTAATTTTTTACTATAGTTTCTGATAAAATCTAATAAAATATTAAGAGTTATGTTTACATTTTAAAAATTCATAAAATTTACTTCTTTAGAATATATATATATATANTATTTATTATTGTAAAAAAGAATGATATTTAGAAATCTTTATATATGAGGTATTAATTAAGAAATGACATTTGGAGCATACATTAATAATTTCTTAATTTTTTACTATAGTTTCTGATAAAATCTAATAAAATATTAAGAGTTATGTTTACATTTTAAAAATTCATAAAATTTACTTCTTTAGAATATATATATATATAACTTTACTTCTTTAGAATATATATATATATATATATATATATAACCAAAACAAATCATATTAATTTTAAAAAATGAAATATTATATTGTCAAGACATAAAAATATTATTTTAGATCAGATTTTAAAAACTATTTGTGTCCACAAATTCACGGATAACCACCTAATCCTCATGTATATTTGAGAAGTCATTTAAGTGATTTATATTTATGTGTTTCTCAAAGAAAAGTTTTCAAATAAATTTTCTTAATTTGATTGGTAATTTTGGAACCAATTAATATCATTTTCCAAATGATCCAAATAATATGAAACATAATGATTTATAAAAAGTAACTTTGGAAAATCTAGAGAGTATAACAAAAATAATTATAATCCAAAATCCATAAGATATAATAAATTATTTTCATACATATGGAATTAAAATGAAAAATTGTTATATTAGAAATTCATTTAAATTTACACTTAAACTTTTAGTGTGAAATAAAGCTAACATTTTATTTTGAATAACTAAAAATGTATTTTAGTTTCAACAAAATTAGTATAATATATTTTATAGAGTATTTGTACCCGCAAACTTGCGAGCAACCACCTAGTATGACTTAAAAAGAGTTCACAAAATACAAACTGAATAATAGTAGAATTTAATGGAAATTTTAATTTCTTCAAATTCAGTTAAAGTGTTTCATTGAATACAACGTAGATTATAAGTATAATCAAAGATTTTTATTGTAGTCCCATATAGGAAGTGTTTTATTTTCAAGTTTATGTGGTCATTACGATGACGTAGATTCTTATTAATTTTTTGAGAAGGGCGAGTTATGACGAATTAACAACGATAACAAAACCGCTGTAAATATCCCATCGTAACAGATATTGTTGTCTTAAAAAACATCTCATAAAAGACCTTTCATCGTAATGTCTTCGTAAAGTTCACAACCGAATTCTTCGTCATAATTCGAGACACAAGACTTCATCGTGAAGTCATCCTTAACCCCCTTCGTCATAAATTACTTGTTAATGATTAGTTGTAAAGTCTTTGTACACTTTCAAAGTTAAATCATCATTATGGTGTGCAAATGTTACGATGATTTTACATCGAAGCCGATCTTAAGTCCATGTAAAATTTTACTACGAGTGTACATGTACGTCCTCATATAGCCCCAATAAAACATTATGAGCATTTAACATCTACGTCGATTTTAATTCGTCATAAAACTGTACGAGTAATTTACAAGGACTTTCTTGTAAAGTCTTCGTAAATTTAAAGTCTTCGTATGGAAGAACATAGTTTGCAGACACGGAGTCCCGTACAAAATCGTAACGAATAACGGGTATCAATTCATCTCAACTAGATTCGAAGCTTTCTGCGAGACATCGCCAATCTTCGAAAGAAATTTTTTCTCTCCAAAAAAAACAACAATAAGCAGTTCGTCTGCGACTATAAAAAAGACACACATAGCTTCTTAAGATATAATTTCTTTGCGAAGGTCCAAACAACGTTAACACCTATCACCTAAAATTTTGTTGCTGATCACAACAAACTCGCAATAGTCCTAAACAAACTTAAGTTATCTCACAGAGATAACTCTTGAACACCCGACATAAGGGTAATAGCGCTATAAAAGAAATCTAAACTTTTGGTCAGCACTTCCGGGAGACCTAAAAATTGTCCTCGGTGAGATGCTTGATTCCAACCAGACGAATCGTATAAGCTGAGAACCTATCGTGGATTCATAATTAACTGTAAATTCTTAGATCTAGGTTTTTAGTTTTGATTTTATTTTTTTTTATGATTTAAAAAATAATAATAATAATAATAATAATAATAATAATCAAACCAATCGCGGGCCGCCACGTATGAGTGCGGCCCGCGAATAGTGCACAAACCTTACTAAACTCACCTCTTACGAAAGAGATAGAAGGGGAAACTCTTAATATTGACATATCTCCTTCTTCCACAGTTTGGTGGCTTGTTGACTGCCGAGATCGTGGCCTTTTCCGGAATGTAAGATGTTTTCTTTCTTGATTTGTGTGCGCTTTTCTTAAATTTTGGAATTTATAACTCTTGAATGGATCTTTTGGTGGAGATTTTATGCTAGAATGTTGGTTGGATATCTTGTAATTAGGGTTACTGTGCTTCAATGTGATTTGGAGTTTCCAGTATTCAATCTAATATCTGGCACCATCAATGTTTGCCCACAACTTTAGAGTAAATCTGATTAGCATAGGTCTCTCTGTATCTAAGTTAAATTATATTTGCAGTATCCACATTTTTTTATGAAATAGTTTGCTCCTTGTGTTCTTGACTTTTTTTCATTTGAAAGAATAAAACTACTTTTTTTCATTGTAAGTATATTTTAGATTGTTTACCAGGTACTCCAGTTTCAAAATTTTGGGTAGGTGGTGTTTTACTAGGTATGAATATGAGAAAAGTTTCATGTTCGTCAATGTTGTAGGTGTTAACTGCTAGCATTGTGCGAGGACATGAAGTTTTCTACCTGGGCACCATTCGGAGGCTCTGCGTTCATTGCTGCATGGGAAACTCTTTTTTTTTTTTTTTTTTAAGAATTTCAGATCATTTTACTNTGAATTTGTGGTCATTCTTCTGCCTTTTCCTACTTATGGAGAAGTCTTATCCTACTTATGAACTCAATGTTTTCTCCTCAAAGCTTGCTAATTAATATATAAACGTAATGACCAGATTATGTTAACTACGTGCTTTGCTTGTTGAATATGTTGCTAGAAATATTATATATATATGGCCAGATTAATGTAATCATAACGCATTGCATTTTATTTAGTATTCAGTATTAGTACATAAGTTGTTTCACGAGTTGCTGAAGGTGGTTTCATTTCATCTTTGCTCTTTACTTGAATCAGGGACAGTCTCAAATTGGCAACTATCATGACCTATCATCAAATAATAATAAAATTAGACAGTGATTGTTTTTGATCTCGGTTAATTAGATGAGGTTAGATAACTAATAAACAACATGGCTTAGATAAAGTTTCTTACTAGGATCGGTGTGGGTGAACACTGCAGCACCATGAAAATCACAAGAACCGGCTTGGTTCTTGTTATGCTGGTAGTAAGTATTGAAGACAACAGAGGCGTGGTCCCTGAGAGTGTTGGGCGAGTAACAATTTTGCCCAAGCTGAATCCTGCTACAGTATGCTTCGCTCTGATGACAAGCCCAACCTAATGCTTCTTGTACCACTTGGTCCGACATCTTGGGATTGGCTACACACCATGGTCCTCCGCTTTTCGCTTTTATTTATGAAAAGAAGATACATATGTCAATGTGTGAAATATCACAAGTGAACGTTACCATTATGTTTTACCTAAATTTTGAGGAATTGTTGCTGATATGAAAAGAAACAGAGCAGTTGTTATTCTTATCAACATTTTAGTCACACAAAATGAAAGTTTGAGAGCTTAAGAATGATTCTAAATTGAGTATTTTATGATGTTTGTAGAGAATCTCTATTAAGGACCAAGTAAAATAATTCACTATTGATGTGTAATTGTTATAAACTGTCAAATCCCTTGGGTGAATAATTACTATTGTGAAATATCTAATTGTTTTCCTCAATTGGATGAAATTTTCGAGGGATCACAAATATTAACATAGTTAACATATAGAAGACATCTTTATAATGTTATTTTAAAAATCAGTTTCTTATGTGTTATGCTCAATTTAGTTCTTACGATGGTTAATTACACAAGTATTCTTAAAGAATTAAAATATTACATCCAAAAATCATTAACCTTTTTATTTTAATAATTTATGTGAATTAGAAGTTTCCTTTACGTAATAATATAAATAAAAAAGGAAACATCTTTAACTTTTAAAAAATAATTTTAAAGAAGAATATATATTTAGATATAATATGCCTTAATAAAAAAGAAAGTTAAAAAAATAATCTTGATATTAAGGAAATAATATTTCCTTTAAAATATAATCTTAAGCAACAAAAATATATTTTTAAATAAATAAAAACATTTCCCTTAAAATCTATCTATTTTCTTAAATAAAATACTATCCTTAAATCTATATATTTTCTCAAAAACAAATCAAGAAAAATTGGTATTAATTTTGGAAATGCTAAATAATATTCTTATTAAAACTGAATTACCAGAAGCTTAAATAATTTTAAAATATTATTTTTAAATATCAAAACTTTAGATACTTAATGAAGTAAAATATTCGTTTTCCCTATTAAAATTTTCCTTTTTCTTAATATTTAGATTTATTTTTAATTTTATTTTTTTATTTATATTTTTTGGGGATCATATTTGAAAAACACCCTAGATACATTACCTGAAATTGTGGGTATGAAGAACAAAGAAAGCACCATCAATGAAGATAGTAGAAGAGAAAAGGAATTCTTGATTGCCATTGATTATATTTCTAGAATATGCAATATTCTTTGTAGAATATCTTTAGATCCCACTAAATAACCAAAACCTGGAAAACATAAAATCAGTTTTATATTAGTAAATCAAAAGAAGATTAAATTTTCATGAATCTTCCACACAAAAAAAAGTTAAAATATTTGTAACATATTTACCTTTTTTCTGGATTTAGTATACAAGAAAATGAGTTGTTTTAGGAGGTGTTATTCAATGAGTGTTTTTAAATTAATTATTAATGTTTTGTAATCCATCAAAATTTAAATTTTAAGAAAGTTTAAGTTGATAGATTCTCAAAATCTCTGCAGTATGTTTTGGATTTTAAATTCTTTCATTTGTTCATGGGAATCCATAGGAAATGATTTGAAATCAATTCAAAATACAAAGAATTTTAAAATCTTTAAAAGTTGAATAACACTAGATTTTAACAACTAAATTTAAATCATTCATTGAATAACGCTAGATTTTAAAACATAATTTAGAATCATCATTTGAATAACAACGAATTGTATTTAGATTTAAATTCTATTAAAATACATGATTGAATAACACCACCTTAGTCTTGTGTGTGTTTATATAGATAATACATAGACATCCCCATTTCTATAGAATTATTTGATCAACGTCCATATGTTTAGATTTAATAGTTATTCTCTATTATCTAATGAACAGTATATAATGAATGATTTTCCAAAACAAAAAAATAGATTTGGAGAGGATCTCAACTTATTGAATTTTAGATAGTCATATCACAATGACAACCTACTATATATTAATTAAGAAGTCACTTTAGTGACTTTTGCTTAGGTGTCACTCATAGGTGAAGTTTAGAATTGATTCTTTTAATTTGAATGGTTGGTAGTATTTCAATTCTGATTTATTTAATTTAACTTTTTGAAAGTAAATTAATCTTAGAATTATTTTATCTAATATATGTTAGCAAACAAACAATTAAACCTCTTTAGTATAGATGACTTAACATAATTTATTTATATAAATAATTAATTATCAGAGATTACATTATATAATTTATAATACACATATAAATACATATGATACTACCAAAAACAATTCTATAAATGGTTTGAAATATATGTATACTAGTAGTGGATATAATAAATAATAGATATCAGAAAATTAAATAATCTAAATTTTATAATATTTCAACTCACTATATACATATATGTAGGAAAAATATTCAAATATATAATTTTGCAAAATTCCAATAATATTCAATGAAAAAGTGATATTATATTGTTGAGGTATCAAATGATTAAATCCTACTATATATTAGTCATCCTACATATTCATTGAGAAGTCATTTAATTGACTTTAAATGATATGTCATTCATAGAAGTACTCTTCAATTAATATTTTAAATTTTATTAGTTGATCGTTTTTTTATTTTTGATTATCTTAATTCAGTTTCAAAAACAAAACCAATAGCTAATTTATATTTTTTATGTGATATTGTACATATATTAGTTTTAGAAATATTATCAGATGTATAAACGTAGTAAGACTTTCTTTCCCAACTTTCGAATCAGACATATTCCAAAGGCACAAAATACTATAGTGGATAAGCTTGCACAAGGTGCGAGGCGTTCTCCTTCAGCTGTGTTTGATGTTGGTTCAACACCTGCGGCTTGACCCTTCGAGCCTAGAGGATAGTTACCTAGTTATTTATTGTTGTAAAAAAAGAATGATATTTAGAAATCTTTATATATGAGGTATTAATTAAGAAATGACATTTGGAGAATACATTAATAATTTCTTAATTTTTTTACTATAGTTGCTGATAAAATCTAATAAAATATTAAGAGTTACGTTTACATTTTTAAATTCATAAAATTTACTTCTTTAGAATATATATATATATATATAACTTTACTTCTTTAGAATATATATATATATATATAACCAAAACTAATCATATTAATTTTAAAAAATGAAATATTATATTGTCAAAACATAAAAATATTATTTTAGATTAGATTTTAAAAACTATTTGTGTCCACAAATTCACGGATAACCACCTAATCCTCATGTATATTTGAGAAGTCATTTAAGTGATTTATATTTATGTGTTTCTCAAAGAAAAGTTTTCAAATAAATTTTCTTAATTTGATTGGTAATTTTGGAACCAATTAATATCAT